GCTAGATAATGTGTTGTACTTTTTTTTGCAGTTTTCAAATCGATGATTTGTTCTACTAACCAAGTTTAAAAGTTCAAGGTTTTATCTTTCAAAGACTTGTCATCTCGATGAACAAATGACACTTACCTGGAGATTCGCTCAGTTGTCTCTTGTAGGAGCGTTATTTATTGAAGTAGCAGATTGCAGTCGTTACTCTGATGGTAGAGACTTCCGCTGCGAGAGCCGATATTAAAAAGACTGACGTTTATTCGGACGTAACACTGACGATTACTTTTTTTAGAAAAAACTGACAGTGGTAAGATAGTACTATAGTATAGTAATATAATGAAGATTTTAGCAGCGAGAACTAAGCCTTATTATTGTTGCTTTTCTTTTGGTTACTCGTCGTCGACCCGTATTTAGTCTCACCTGCCTACGTCCTTTATTTTTTCTCTCTGGGTGATCTTCGATCAATCAGTAAAGTGCTGCACGGAGTCTATTAGATGCTATGCTAATAAACGAGACTAAGCATTATAAGTTTTCTTTGATTTTGATTTGTGTTCTTCCATATTTACTCTACTCACTGGCGTATCTCTCAAATTCAGTTGCTGTTTCTTGGAAACTTCGAGAATTCCGAAATCAGACACAGTCAACACTGAACCCAACTTGTTTTTGTATGTATAAAGTCTTGAGAGAGCAGTAATCGAATCTGGAAAATATATCTATTTGTAGAGAGAGTATTAGAGAACACAATTTATAATAAATAAAACTTGTAATACTTAGTTTGGCTTATTCGTAGTGTCTAGTAGACTCCGATGCAACTCCGTGTATATCTGTATCAATCCGTGAAAAACAGACTCACAACAACGCAAACAAACAACTTATTTTTGTTGAACTATTTTCGACGAGAACGAGAATAGGGTGAGAGTGCACTGACAATTATAGAATGTTTGAAAAGCATAACTGACGAGGGAACATCCTCAACTGAAGGAACGCTTTAGAGTTCTGGCTCCGTGCATAAAGTAGATCCCAGTGAGGTATGAAAAACCCCAAAAGGATAAGTGCCCATGGGCCTCCTGTCCTAAGTTATAGGCAATATACTGAAATTTTAGCCTATGGCATGGTATGTATAAATAAACCAAATGACGGTATTTCGACCTGAGATTTTGCCCATAGAGAGGTCTATTAGTGACTAGAATATCCTGAAAACTTCAGCTTAAAAGATTGTTTCCTTCTCGAGATATTGAAGTCTCAAAAAAATAGGAAATTCTAGTATCTTTCGTGGGATATGCGTGATTTTTCGATAATTTAATATCTCGAGAAGGAAACAATCTTTTAAGCTGAAATTTTCAGGATATTCTAGTCACTAATAGACCTCTCTATGGGCAAAATCTCAGGTCGAAATACCGTCATTTGGTTTATTTATACATACCATGCCATAGGCTAAAATTTCAGTATATTGCCTATAACTCAGGACAGGAGGCCCATGGGCACTTATCCTTTTGGGGTTTTTCATACCTCACTGGGATCTACTTTATGCACGAAGCCAGAACTCTAAAGCGTTCCTTCAGTTGCGGATGTTCCCTCGTGAGAATTTTGTAGAAATATAGTTGGTTTATGAGAAACAGAATTATCCTGTTGTTTATAGAATTCTATGTTACGATACAACTTTAAAAAAAGAGTGATATATATGTTGAAATGAAACTCGGGATAAATGTACGGTATTCTAAGTTCTGCTTGGTAGGTATTGTAGAGTCCCTTAGTCAAGGAAATCGGGAAAGTCTATTAGAGAGAGCGCAAGTTTTAAGTAGAGTGAGATGACTTTATTGATTTTTCAGATTTATTAAAAAGGTTTCATATAGAGATAGACATAATGGCTGAAAACTGACTTTAGTTATGCTCTAGAATATCTGAAATTGTCCAAAAGTCAGTGAGATGATGTTTTCGAAGAACTTATGTTCAATTAAGTTAAACTCTCAAAGATTGAATAAAATACGACGATTGAATACTGTGTATATGTTAATACATATGTGAGAGCAAAGTTTTTGTATTTAATAGTCTGCAATATGTTTCATGATCAAATTACTTACACAGTTGGCGGTAACCCTCAAGCAGTAGCAGTCG